ATGTCCTCCCTGACATGCTCTACCTTTTCCAGACCTTCCCCATTATTAAAACAAAGAAAACGTTTGAAAGCTGGCATAGAGACATCCTAAAGTTCATCTGGAAGGGAGGAAGACATAGAGTCAGTTTTACCAATCTATGCGACAGTAAGGAAAGAGGAGGCCTGGCACTCCCAAACCTGCGGCTCTGCCACGATGCATCGGCCCTGTGCTGGATTAAGGAATGGATTAGCCTCAAAGAAAAAAAGATATTAGCCCTGGAGGGTCATGACATAATGCAAGGCTGGCACAAATATCTATGGAGAGGGAAAGCAAAGAAGGAGAGGAATTTCGAGAACCACTTTGTTAGGTCCCCACTTATAAAAATATGGGAAAATTACAAGAACAAATTCCATTCAAAAGTCCCGCTATGGTTCTCACCGAATGAGGCCAGTCAAATCAGAGGAGCCAGTAGAGAAAAGTGGTTAACCTATAAGGAAATAATAAAAGACATACCAGGCAAACCATCCCTAAAATCCCAGGAGGAATTAAAAAAATATGATCCCACACTCTCGTGGTTTCAATACCATCAAATAAAAGAAAGTTACAACCTTGACCATAAGACAGGCTTTGAAACCAAGGACCACTTTTGGGAAAAAATTATTAACTCTGAGGGAAAGCATATATGGAAAATATACCAGGTGTTATTGAGGTGGGAAACAGAAAAAGAACAAGTTAAAAACAACATGGTGAAATGGGCCAAGGTCGCACAATCAACTTTAAGGATTGGGAGGGAATATGGACAAGGAAACTGAAATGTACATATTCTAACGATTGTAAAGAGAACTGGTATAAATTATACTATAGATGGTACTTGACCCCGAAACAACTTCCCAGATTTAGCAAAGGGAAATTGGAGACAAAATGCTGGAAATGTAAAAGAAACATTGGAACTTTTATACATATGTGGTGGGGGTGCAAAAGGGTGAAAGCCTTCTGGCGAACGATACATAAAGAAACAGAGAAAATCC